TATAAGGATCTAGCTTTAGTTTTCTACAAGTAGTTAACCAATTTTGCCAGCACCATTTACTGAAGAGGCTGCCTTTCTTCCATTCTATTTTTTTAACTCCCTTTTCAAAGATTAGATGGCTATAGATCTGTGGGTTCATTTCTGGGTTTTCAATTCTTTTCCATTGGTCCTGAGGTCTGTTCTTGTGAAGTTTCCAAGCTGTTTTGATTACAATGGCTTTGCAGTAGAGTTTGAATTTTGGTATTGATATTCCTCCAGCACTGTTCTTTCTGTTAAGGATTGTTTTTGTTATTCAGGGTCTTTTATTGTTCCATACGAATTTTTAGGGTTCCCTTATTTCTTGAGGAATCTGGCAGACTCAACAACAAAGGGAATTGGAAGCTTGCCTTTGGTGGCACCCATAAAATTACAACCACTTAACTGAGAAGAGGGCAAAAATCTCCCAGAAGTCCTCTTTCATGCTGAGTATGAAGTACTTTCTTGTAAGACCCTTCGGGAGTTTAAACAGGCCATAACCACCTCCCCTTATACTATGGGCATTCTCGGGGGACTAGCAGAGGCCGAGCATCTAATTCCCCATGACTGGGAAAACCTGGCCAAAACCTGCCTAGACCCCAGTCAATCTCTATAATGTGAAATGAAGTGGAATGAGGAAGCTTGTAACCAGGCTCTGAAAAATCGACATGCCCAGCCTCCCATAGAAATTGAGGGAGACCAGCTTACCAGATGGGGGTGTGACTGGGAGTGAATGAACTGCTAGATTATGAGGATAACCAACTTACCAAGTGCATGCTTCTTGTTTGAGAGCTTAGGAAAAAATAGCACAGCCAGGCCAGATAGCTACTCCTTACGTGAAAATTAAGCAGGGAGGCACTGAGCCTTATGTGAATTTTATAGCCCAGCTAGAGGACAATCTTCATAAGACTGTGCCACAAGCCAAGCTAAGAAACTTACTTCTCCAGATGCTCACTTTTGATAATGCCAATTCAGAATGCCAGAAGGTCCTACACTCTGTTAAGGCCACCAAATGGCAACATTATGGATTATATTAAGGCCTGTAATGACATCGGCACCTCTGTTTATAATGCTAACCTACTGGCATTAGCCATAACAAGGCTTAAAGTAAGAGATACAAGATGCTTTGGATGTGGAAAGTTAGGGCATATAAAAAGGGAATGTCGTAAAACAAAGACTTCTCGGTTAATGATCCCGCTCCACCTGGGACATGCTCCAGATGTGGTAAAGGAAAGCACTGGGCAAATCAATGCCACTCTAAACATAATAAATGTGGCAAGCCTCTTTCCCCCTCAAGAAACGAGCAAGCAGGCTGCCCTGGAAACAATACCAGAGGCCCAGCAGATGCCATTCATGGAGTTTCCCCTCTACAAATTTTTAGAACTTGGCTGCCACCACTGCAGGCAGCATAGCAGTAGAACTTAAAACTGCAGCTCCTACGCTTTTAACTCCTGATCAAGGTATTGTTAAAATATCCCCACAGGTTTATGGGCCTAGACCTAAATCTACAGTAGGATTCATTATAGGAAGAAGGGCCTAAAAGTTCATGTAAGTGTGGTTGTCAAGGGTTACAATGGACATATTCAGATTATGGCCTCAGCATTGTCTCCTCTGCATATTAAAGCAGGAGACAGAATTGCCCAGATTCTGCTGCCCCCATAAGGATCCCCCCCCACCGTGAAACCGCAGCTTGAGAAGGATTTGGCAGCACCAACAAACAAATTTGGCACAATGCTGTCATTGGGCCTGGTTACCCTGAGTGCAATCTCATCATAAATCATAAAAGGCTTGGAGGACCTAGATGTAACTGTAATTGATCAAAAACACTGGCCTGCTAATTGGAAAAAGGAGAAAAAGGACATTCAGATGTCAGGAGTAGGGAGTATACAAGAGGTGTGGCAGAGTACCTCCATACTGACCTATACAGGTAGACATCAATCTCTGGGGGAGGGATCTCATGGCACAATGGGATACTCAAACTTCTTTCTCTCTCCCGCTGGATTTTTCCTGCCGGCCATTGATCAGCATCCACAGCCCTTGCCTTTTCAATGGCTCACCACCACCCCCATTTGTGTCACTCAATGGCCATTAGCCAAAGAAAATCTGGACGCTTTACACTGTCGGTCTCAAGAGCAGCTCAAAGCTGGACATATAGAGCCCTCAGTCAGTCCTTGGAATACTCCAGTATTTATCATAAAGAAAAAAAATCAGGAAAATGGAGGATGCACCAAGATAAGTACTGTTATTCAGCCCATGGGCACTTTACAGCTGCCTTCTCCTGCAATGATTCCTAGAGATTGGAAACTTGAAATCATAGATTTAAAAAATTGGGGTTTATTATCCATTCCTTTAACAGAACAGGATAAGAAAAAAATGTGCCTTTACTGTCCCAAGCATAAATATGAAAGAACCTGCAAAGCTTTATCAATGAAAAGCCCCACCCCAGGAAATACTTCATAGCCCTACTATGTGTCAGTATTACATACAGCTGTTCTACGACCTGTGCAGGAATCTTTCCCAGATGCGTATATTATCCATTGTATGGATGACATATTGTTAGCTTTACCTGATGAGATCATGTTAGACAAACTTCTCACAATGGTGAGGGAGAGGCTATCAGTGTCAGCACTGTTAATAGCACAGGAAAAAGTCCAAAAAGCCTCCCCCTACTCTTATCTGGGAACCAGAATAACTGGTAATGTAATTACTCCACAGAAGATTCAAATCAGAACAGAGGGGCTGGGAAGGTGGCTCAGTGGTAGAGTGCTTGCCCTGCATGCCTGAGGCTCTGGGTTCGATTCCTCAGCACCACATAAGCAGAAAAAGCCAGAAGTGGCGCAGTGGCTCAATTGGTAGAGTGCTAGCCTTGAGCTGAAGAGCTGAGGGACAGCACCCAGGCCCAGAGTTCAGGCCCCACCACTGACCAAAAAAAAAAAAAAAAGGTTCTCAAGTCAGAACAGATGCCTTGAGGACCCTTAATGATTTTCAAAAGTTGCTGGGAGATATTAACTGGTTACATCCTTCCCTGGGAATTCCAGCTTACAAACTGCAGCACTTTTTTAATATTTTGCAGGGAGATAGTGACTTAAATAGCCCTGGAGCATTAATCCCACAAGCTCAAGGGGAACTACAATGGCTAGAACATTCAAAATATCCAGTTAAAAAGAGTAGATCCAGAATCTCTAGTACAATTGTTGATTGTTCCTACCCCACATTCCCTCTACTATTAAAACAGATGATGCTTCTGCCTATACTAGTGCTAAATTGCAAACTTTCCTAAATAAATGGCCAATTAAACATATTACAGGAATCCCTTATAATCCACAAGGTCAAGCCAGTGTGGAATGCAGTAATTTTACACTAAAGTCCCAGTAAAATAAACAAAAAGGGGGATAGGTATGTCACTGGACCCCGAAAGAACAGATAACAATGGCATTGTATAACCTTAATTTTGAAAATTTAAATTTTCTATCCAACACTTAAGCAGCAGATAAACATTGGAAAGACCTGGAAAAACTCCAAGTTTCACATCAACCTATATGGTGGAAGGATGACACTGATAATAACTGGAAACCCAGAACCTTCCAAGTATGGGGCTGTGGTTTTGCTTGTGTGTTCACAGGTTCAGTGGGCATCTGGCTACCAGCCCAGAAATTAAAACCCAGAAATGAAGAGAAAATCATCCAACATTGAGGTATCTGGAGGAGTCCTTCAAGAAGATGAGATCGCTAAAGGCCAGGGGAGAACAGCAGGAGTTAGGTCTGCAACCATTCTCACCTGGGAACAGCTGAAGAAGATGAACCAAGAAGCTGAGAGATGCTTAAGGACAATGGACAGGAAATTAAAGCAATGTCTTTGTGATGATGAGATTGCTTATTCATACTGCTGGCGCCTCTTGCTCCGTACAAGCCTCTGTTTGGGGGTTTCCTATGCTGGGTAAACTGTTGTACTTACATTGTACTCTGTACTTAGGTTTATGCAAATTGTAGGCTGTTTACTCTTTAGCTCTTCTTCCCAGAATAAGAAGGTCATCTACCATTTGTATACAAAATATTGTCACCTGTTGAAGTTTGTACCCTACTTCCTTGCACAAGACCAATAAAAACCTTGGTTAATGGAACCTTTGGGTCTGTTGCTGGCGGAAGGCTACATGTCCTCTAGTAACCCAAAGCTCAGTTGCACAGTTGGGTCTCTGTTATTGTGTTGCTCCTCCTCAGGGCAGATTAAGGAGCATGGTGTGCATACCTAGGACACCTTCTGGTGAGAAGCAGCCCTCACTGAACCCCCTGTCCTGAGGAGAGGAGGATGGTGGGTGCCTAGCCCGCCCTCTGGCTGGAAGCAGTGCTCACTGCACCCCAGGTCCCGAGGATGGTGCATGCACCTAAAGCGCCCCCTGGTGGGAAACAGCATTCACTGCACCTCCAGTTTTGAGGAGAGGAAGATGGGTGAGCACACCTAGACTGCCCTCTGGCGGGAAACAGAGCTCACTGCACCCGGGTCCTGAGGAGGAAGGTGTGCATCCCTAGAGAGCCTTCTGGTGGAAATCAGCACTCACAACACCCCAGGTCCTGAGAAGGATGGAGTGCACACCTAGAGCGCCATCTGGGGGCAATCAGTGGTCACTGCACCCTGGTCCAGAGGAGAGGGATATTGTGTGCATGCACCTAGCGCACCCTCTGGTGGGAAGCAGCACTCACTGTACCCAGGGTCCTGAGGAGATGAATACAGTGTGCACACCTAGAGCGCCCACTGGAAGTGGCGTTCACTGCACACAAAACATGTCCTGAGGAGAGGAGGACGGTGCCCATGCCTAGAGTGCCCTCTGGTGGAAAGCAGTGCTCACTGCACTCTGTGTCCTGAGGACAGTGTGCATGCCTAGCGCACCCTCTGGTGGGAATCAGCACTCACTGCACCCCAGGTCCTGAAGAGAGGAGGGTGATGTGCATACCTAGAATGCCCTTTGGCAGCAAGTAGCGCTCATTGTACCCCATGTCATGAGGAGGACAGTGCACATGCCTAGAGTGCCCTCTGGTGGAAAGCGGCACTCTCTGCACCCCATGCCTGTCCTAAGGAGAGGAGGACGGTGAGCTTGCCTCAGGTGAGAGCGCCCTCAGGTGGGAAGCAGCACTCACTGCACTCCAGGTCCTGAGGAGAAGGATGTGCATGCCTAGAGCGCCCTCAGGTGGGAAGCAGCATTCACTGCACTCCAGGTCCTGAGGAGGAGGGATATGCATGCCTAGAGCGCCCTCCGGTGGGGAGCAGCACTCACCGCACCCCTGGGTCCTGAGGAGGACAGTGTGCACACCTAGCGCACCCTCTGGTAGGAATCAGAGCTCACTGCACCCCATATCCTGAGGAGGAAAGTGAGCACACTGAGAGCACCCTGTGGTGGGAATCAGTGCTCAATACACCTTGAGTCCTGAGGAGAGGAGAGATGCACATGCCTAGAGTACTCTCTGGCGAGAAACAGCGCTCACTGCACCCACGTCCTGAGGAGGAGGATGTGTAAGCCTAGTGCCACCTCTGGTGGGAATCAGTAGTCACTGCACCTCTGGACTTTAGGAGAGAAGGACGGGTGAGCACACCTAGAGCACCATCTGGCAGAAAACAGCACTCACTGGACCCCAGGTCCTGAGGAGAGGAGCATGGTGCGCATGTGCCTAGCCATACCCTCTAGCGAGAAGCAGCATTCACTGCACCCCGGGTCCTGAGGAGGACAGCACACATGCCTAGAGTGCTCTCCAGCAGGAAGCAGTGTTCACTGCACCCTGTGTCTTGAGAGGGCGAGTGTGCATGCACCTAATTAATGTAACTATAATACCTCTGTATATCAACTCTACAATAACAATAAAAATTTTTAGAGAGCTGAAATGATATTTAAAATTGTCATTCATACAATACGCATCACATAAAGACTTTTACCATCTTCAAGATTCTGACATTGAAGCAGATTTTAACAGATGCAGAAGTGAAGTGTTGAGAGACTACACAGTTTAGTTTAGCTCATTAAGAGAAAGGAGAAACTAAGAATTGTATGCTGCTGTTCTGACTTTGCTTCTGACTCCTCCACACCCCAGTATCTTCACACAAGTAAGCAGGGTAAGACAGGGTTGTGACAACGAAAGAGAAGACACTGGCATCAGAAAATGATTTATTTATCTATTTATCTCAGAAGTTATTTATTTGAACCTCTTGACAGCTACCAGCAAATGCCTCAGCATGAGAAGTGACAACCTCAGCTCCTTGGGGGATCCACTGACAAACTTCATCCTTGTGAGTGTTTCTGACCGGCCATGGCTGGAGCTCCCTCTCTTTATGCTCCTCCTGATGTCCGACATTCTGCCAACATTGGGAAACATTTCCATCATGCTGGTGTCCCGCCTGGATTCCCAACTCCACAGCTTTATGTACATCTTCCTCAACCACCTGTCCTTTCTAAACCACTGCTATACCACCACCACAGTCCCCCCAGATACTGTTCAACATGGGTAGCTCCAAGAAGACCATCAGCTATGCAGGCTGCACAGTGCTATATGCAATTTTCCACTGGTTGGGAGACACTGAATGCATTATCTTGTCCACCATGGCATTGGATCGCTATGTGGCCATCTGTGGGCCCCTCTAGTATGCCATTATCATGCACCACTCTCCTGCCAGCAGCTGGTGGCTGTGGCCTGGATCCATGGCTTTGGCACCTCTCTCATTCAAGTGGTTCTGACTGTACAACTGCCCTTCTGTGAGTGGCAGGTAATAACTTCTTTTGTGAGTTGCCAGCCATGATCAAATTGTCCTGTGCTGACGAGACTGTGAATGATACAATATTAGTGGTGCTGGTGGCCTTCTCTGTGCTTGTCCCCCTAGCTCTCATCCTTCTCTCCTATGGCTTCATGGTCCGGCCTGTGCTCAGGATCCAGTCCTCCAAGGAGGGCACAAGGCCTTTGGGACTTGTTCTTCCCACCTAGTGGTGGTCTGTCTCTTCTACATATCCTCCAGATACTCTCTCTCTCTTCTATTCCGTAGTTACCCATACCCTGAATCCATTCATATATACCCTGAGGAATAAAGATGTGAAGGGAGATCTCAGAAGACTTCTGACAAGGATCTGGAGGCTCTGCAGGTAGGGAAGATCTGAAGATGTGGCAATCACCATCTATGCAAGAACATTAAGCATGTGTATTATTTGCTCAGAGCATCTTACACTTACACAATTAGTAGCTAAGCAGAAAGTATTTTGAAAGATTTGAGAACCTCAAAAATCCTCTATCCCAAACATCTGACCCTCTCACATAACCATGGGGCCTGAGAATGTAATTCTAATAGACCATATATTTTAATAGTTTGTCACTGTTTAATGAATCATTTCATTTCTAATTTCTGGCTCTTCTTTTTCTTTTTCCTATTTTTTTCTTCTACCACCCCTGAATTTGTCTTTTTTTTTGTTTTTTTTGGGGGGGTCCAGTTGTGGGGCCTGAACTCTGGGCCTGGGTGCTGTCTCTCAGCTGTTCAGCTCAAAGCTAGCACTCTACCACTTGAGCCACAGCACCACTTCCGGCTTTTTTCTTTTTGCTTATGTGGTGCTGAGGAATCGAACCCAGGGCCTCAGGCATGCAAGGCAAGCGCTCTACCACTGAGCCACCTTCCCAGCCCGAATTTGTCTTTTTTTAAGTGGCTTTCTTCCTTTTCAATTACTCCTACATTTATGTATTATGAAACTGAAACATAGTCTTAAACATTTTCTCCATAGATTTAAACTCTCCCTAAGCTTAATATGTTTTCAAAACATTATAAAAGAATAAATGGATTTGTTTCCTCTTTTGTGATCAGAGATAACTTTTTTCTCCAGTAATTCAAGTTTCCTCCTACAGAAGCTTTTCTTTCCATTGACTTGATACTATTTAGTGTGAATGTACCTACCTATGTTCTCCTCTAAACAAATATACCTGTTACAGAATTCAACATGGAAATTAGCTACAGTAAGGAAATAGCAACAGCCTCCAATAATTTTTCAAAGACAACCATAATAGGATTCAATCATAACAATTATGTAAATTTTATGAATTGCATATTTCTAGAATATTCCATGTACTACATCAGCACTGCAGTAGATAGCAGAGAAAAGAAATTGTGAAAAAAAATCGTGGGTGAGGGGAAACTTATATATGAGTAAATTCTAAGTATCAGTAAAGAGACAAAACATAAAAATGAAAATTATAGAAATAAAAAGGGACAATAACTGAAATAGTAACAAGCAAACACTGCAGAAATTCAAAGACACATTTCAGCAAACTATAGAAACAATAAGTAAACAAACATGGACCAATAGAAATCACAAAGTTGAAGAACAGACACACATGTTTCAGAAAAATAATCTGTTGTGATGATCTGTGGGACACCATCAACCAGGGCAATGTAGCAATGCAGGAATACTGGGAGAGGAGAAGCAAAGGGTCAAGAAAACACTAAAGGAAATAATGGTACAAAAGTTTGAGTGAATGTAGGACAATAAAAGAAGCATCCAAGAAACAACCTATAAACAGAAAATCACACTAAAAAAATTAACAAAAGATTGAAAGAGCAAGAGCAAAGGACCACCTGCAAGCAATTTTGAGTTAGGCTATAAGCAGATTTCATATCACAAATTCTCTTTGCTATCATGTAATCTTAGCACCTCCTGAGGATCACAGTTAAAAGCCAACTCAGTCACAAAATTCCTGAGAATCTTATCATCAATTGACCTCCAAGCCAGAAGTATATATGTGACTCAATTGCTAGAGCACTAGCCGTGAGCAAAAAAGCTCAGGGATGGGGCTGGGAAGGTGGCTCATTGGTAGAGCGCTTGCCTTGCATGCTTGAGGCCCTGGGTTCGATTCCCCAGCACCACATAAGAAAAAAGAAAAAAGCCAGAAGTGGTGCTGTGGCTCAGGTGGTAGAGTGCTAGCCTTGAGCTGAAGAGCTAAGGGACAGCGCCCAGGCCCAGAATTCAGGTCCCACGACCGGACCCAAAAAAAAAAAAAAGAAAAGAAAAGCTCAGGGATAACATCCAGGCCCTGAGTTCAAGCCCCAATATGGGCATGAAAAAAAGTGTTGGCACAAATGTGGGAAACTGGGAAGCCTTATGTACTTAAGATGGGCACATGATCCCATACAGTGCAGTGAATGATGTTAGATAGAGCTACATGAAGGCAGATGACCAGACAGACAGACAGACAGATAGACTGATAGGTATTCTACTTCTGTGTATGCCCTGAAAAGAATTGAAGGCATTCTGGATACTGGTGGCACAAGTCTGTAACCTTAGCTACTCCAGGGGCTGAGATCTGAGGATTGTGGTTCAAAGAACCATGAGTTTCTTAGCCCAATTAACCACCAGAAAACCAGAAGTGATGCTGTGGCTAAAAGTGGTAGAGCACTAGCCTTGAGCAAAAAAGCTCAGGGTCAGTGCACAGGCCCTGAGTTCAAGGCCCATGAACATAATGAGTAGGATTCATAATTTTTTTCATGGCATCCTTTATCTCTAAAATGTTTGTTGTCAAGCGTCCTCTGCATCCTGCCTCATGCAGCAACTGAGGCCTCAGGTGGCTGTGTGACTACCTAGATGGGGATCTTGTCTGAAACAAAGCATTAGCTACCACAAGGGATAACTCCCATGGTTTGAGAAGCCATTTGCTTGGTGACACCATAGCTCTACCTCAACATATCTTTCAAGTCCCAGCACACAGGGAAGTTACTCTAGAGACTGTACTCTGCCCTCACAGGTTTAAAAACTAGGACAAGACCTGGAATACATCATGCCCTTGCACCTCCCAAGGTAATAGAGCCCATAATACACCTTGATTCCACACTTCAGGACTTCCGAGCCATGAAAGCAGATCTCTATAGCTCCAAACCAGCAGTGTGCAGTGCTTTGTCATAGCAACCCAAATGAAATAATAAATAAATATTCTGCTCTTTCTACATGCTTTCCAGACCACAATGCCGACCAAAGGGGGGACCAAGATGGCGACGGGGCAGTAGGGAAACGCCACAGCTCTCCCCAACCAAAAAGAGAGTTTGAGTTCCAAGAGACCGACAACAACAAAAAGACAAACACTCAGAGAAAAACAGAAGGTGGAAAATAACAAAAAAGAGAGGAAAAGAAGAATTTCAGAACAGAGAAGAGAGAAGACCCCTCCCCCAACCTTTACTGGCCGCGCGGCGGTGTGCCAAGCCGCCCCCCCAGCCAGCCCGGCGGGGGCTGCCGGAGCCCCAGAGACACAGGGGGCCACCTGCAGATCACCTGCGCAGAAGCCGCCTGAGGTACCGGCTTGCAGAACAACTGATCGCCAAGAACAGAGAAACCTACCAGCCGGGAGTTTCCACGAGGATCCCACCCCCACCCCTCACTCTCCACCCGAGCAGAGAGGCTCCATCCCGCCAAAGCCGCCAGCGGGCAGCGTGACAAAGGGACCTGTCTGCAGACCACCCGCGCAGAAGCCACCTGAGGCACCAGACCCTCCCGATCGCGATCACAATGACCTGGCGGGGGCCGCCCAGGTCCCAGAGGCACAGGGGGCTGCCTGCAGATCACCCGCGCAGAAGCTGCCTGAGGCACCGGCGTCAGACCCACCGGATCTATACAACCCGGCGTCCCAGAGACACAGGGGGCTGCTTGCAGATCAACCGCGCAGAAGCCGCCTGAGCGTGGACACTGTGGACCCGACAGCTTCGACAGAGGCAGAGACAGAAAAGAATCACACAGAGCCACCACCGCTCAGCCCAGCCCACAACCACCCCAACTGAACTCGGATTGCAACAGCAAGTGACGACCTACACCACACAGAAACAACTAGCTCCAGGGTGAGTACCCCACAGGGGACAGTGTATCCCTCAAGGGAGACCAGAGCTGGAGGGAATCCCCAGACCCTGACCTATACTCCCTACCCCAACACCCGGACCACAGGACCCACTAAAACTGGGAACTGTTTGAGAGCTCCACCAACCTGTGGAGCACACTCCGCTGGCCAGGCCAGAGCAAGAGTGCCCCTGGAAGGGAGCTTAAATGCCCAAGCCAGGAACAGCGCCCCTGGATCAAGACTACCAACAGTAGAAAAAATTTGAACTGTGTCCTCCAGGCTGCATAACCTAGGTGGTATACACATCAGCACAGGCCTAACGAGTGTGCTCCAGGCAGGGGCCGGAACCAGGCCTGGGGATCCGGTGCCTGAACAACACAACCAACTCCTCCCAACTGAAGTAAAAAGCTGAGCATATGCCTCAACAGAGAGGAGAAAAACGGAACAGCACTCCCCGGGAAGCACGCCTGTGACAACAAAAGACCTGGAGGCTCAGGACAAGAGAAGCCCAAACCCCACCAAAACTCCACCCATATAC